TTTTGCTTTGTTTCACACAACTTATCCGGGTTGGCTTTTGTTTGAATATGCTTGTGTCATCTTCACTTGTTTCCGTGATCGTCGTTGCCATGGTTGCGTATGTACGTGTGGGGCGGAGATTATAAAATAAGGACGAGGTCCTATTGGGCTATGAGCGTGTTTGTTTTGGTGCTTTCAAATATCAACATCGTTTGGCAAAAATCACTTAGTGCACCTTTAAACTACTTTAATATGGAAATCTCCTTTTGAGTTCTTCAGTCTGTATCTAAAGCTAATGGACAGTTTGCTTTTAGTATCAATTACAATTAAATGTGCAACATCTTTGCTTTTACTCAAGTGTGTTTTTATCGAGATACTGGAGGGATGTTTTTCCTCAGTACTCATATTGTGAAGTGTATTTTCTGTGTACGTTTGACTCCCAGCAAACACACATCTGAGTTTGTTTACACCTGAGCCGAGACTCTGAGAACACACACACACACACACACACATACATACAGAGTCAGTGAGAATAAAAAAGAAGTGTTTGAAAGTGGAAGGAAGAAAATAAAAAAGGTAGAGAATAAAAGAGCATGAAAAATGCAGTGGGAAGCCATCTATTCTAAAGCTGAATAATGCATTTGTAGCCTCATGAAAGTGCACAGAGACATTAGCTCGTTGCTGGTTATAATGCTTCTCCTACACACGCACTCAAACACACGTGTGTGATGCCGCTGGAGGACAGAAGTAACATATTGTGCTGCTCTCTTAAAATGTATTGTCTTCAGAGCTGGGAAGTAACTGATTACATGTAATCTGGATTATGTAATCAGATTACAAAAAATACATACTTGTAATTAAATTACATTACATTTTAAAATGCTCACAATCAGATTAAAGTTTCTTTTTATGGATTACATGATTACTTTTCACACAACCCATCTCCATAATGTACATTAAGTGCTTTATTTTCACGTCCTAATTTTGTACTTAATATACTAAAAATTATTCTTAAAATAATCTTAAAATTTTCTAAGTGTACTCAACTGTGCTATCGCGAATATGAACTAAAGCGTGCTTTTAACATACTATCTCTGTATTAAAAAATGTGTTTAGTTACCACACACTTGAACCCATGCTTCATACACTACACTGTAAAAAATCAAAACTGTAAAAGGCAACCAGCTTCAGGAGATTTTTGAGTTTTCTTAACTTTTTGTTGTATAAACTGAATACAAGAAGTTGAGAAAACTGAAAAATGTCCTGAAGCTGGTAGCCTTAAACTTTTAAGTTTTCTCAACTTTTTTTTTACAGTGTAGTACACTCAAGTGGTAACTAAATAAATTTTTTAATACAAGGCATGTTTAAAGCACATTCTAGTTCATATTCATGGTGTCCCAAAATAGCACAGTTGAGTACACTTAGATGTTCTTAAGATTATCTTAAGAAATACTAAACATCTTTTAGTATATACAAAATTAGTGCGTGAAAATAGAGCATTTTAAGTACATTATGGAAGTGCGCTTTTTTTCACCTGGGAATGGCAGTAAATTATTCAGAATTTATTGACTCACCTCAATTCTCTTCTTTTTTTTTGTCTTCAAAATTTTTCTTTCTAAAGTAATCTACCTCTTATATACATTCGGACCGTCTTCCAGCAGTTTTTTTGTAATTGCACTTGCCTTCCACTAGTCAGGAGTAATTAGTTAATTAGTATTTCAGTTAACACTCAATGTGTCATTTAACCTGGTATTACTATGTCTTTGGACTTTGTCTTTATGAATGACATGAATCTTTGCATTTTTATGTGTTTTAAATACATTATATCCGTGCATGCATGCTAAACTGACTGCATCAGTGTGGTAAAATTTGTTTTAATTTTGAGAATTATATATCTATTGATTATTAATGTGCCTTTGATTCCAAAATATAACAATATTTTAACAGCGTATTTGCATCTTCACTGTTCTCTGTCAGTTAAGCTAAAAGTAATCAAAAAAGTAGTCTGGCTACATTACCTAATATGTGTAATCCAAACTACAATTTTCGTCATGTAATTTGTAATTAGTATTGGACTAAAAATGTCTAAGTAATCTACGCAGTCTTATTAAACAGAACCCTGTAGAACACCACTGAATGAAGAATGAAACATCTGAATGATTTTTAATGTTTTTTTTTACAGTTTCTTCTGCTCATCAAGGCTGCATTTATTTGATCAAAAATACAGGAAAAAATGAAATATTGTGAAATATTATTACGATGTAAAATAACGTTTTTCTATTTTAATATACATTAAAATGTCATTTATTTCTGTGATCAAAGCTGTATTTTCAGCATCATCAGTGTCACATGATCTTCAGAAATCATAATAATATGCTGATTTATTATCAGTTGTGCTGCTTCATATTTTTTCACAACCTGTGATCATTTTTTTCAGGATTCTGTGATGAATAAAAAGTTCAAAAGAAGAACGTTTATTTTAAATAGAAATCTTTTCTAACAATATACACTACCGTTCAAAAGTTTGGGGTCAGTAAATTTTTATTCTTTCTTTTTTTGAAAGAAATTAAAACTTTTATTCAGCAAGGATGTGTTAAATTGATAAGAAGTGATGGCAAATATTTATATTTTGAATAAATGCTGTTCTTTTTAACTTTTTATTCATCAAAAATCCTGAAAAAAGTATCTATCCACACACACACACACACACACACACACACACACACACACATACACACACACACACACACCCACACACACACACACACACACACACACACATACATACATACACATATAAGACTTCAGATGCAAAAACCTCTAAGTCCATCTGAGAATTTTTTTTAATTAGCATTTTTATCAGAATTCTATGGAAGGCATTCAATAACTGACTAATACCCTTTTTTTGTGAAAGTACTGAAAGTAAGTGAAAGTACTGAACCTAAACATAGGAACCTGATAAAAATGCTGATTTAAATGAAAAAAAAAATGTCAGACAAATCTCAGACAGACTTGGAGGTTTTTCATCTGAAGTCTTCATAGAGATAGATAGTTAGTAATGGATGAGTATTTAGAGGTTCTCCCGGTCGTTAATCAATGATGATCTTCTCTTAAACACACGATCGTCATGAGTCTCAGGCTCGAGTTGTTTCAGCTCTTGCGTATGCACAACACCATATATGTATTTCTTTATTTCTGTGATTGTTGCTGTTGTAGTTATCTGTGCTTGAGGTGTTTCGCTATCTCATGCGCTCAATGTGTGTAGATTGCCTTCGGTCTGCAGATGAACAGCGATACAAAGAATAACAAATGGAGGCAATGCAATCATGACGGGTCGCCGTGCCTTCCGCTTAGGTAGTGTGTGTGTGTGTGTGTGTGTGAGAGTGTGTGAGAGAGTGTGTGTGTGTGATTATGCCTGATGCGCTTCTTCAACCTGCCTGATTACCTGTCAGCATGTGCTGGAGGCCTGACAGAAGCAGCACACACACGCCGCAGGTGAGCTGTGTGTGTGTGTGTGTGTGTGTGTGTGAACGCAGAGAGACGAGACGAGGAAGCACTGGATGTGTGTGTCGGTACGCAGCTGTGCAGTGGACAGGAGTGATTGCTGCTAGATAGCATGCATTATTCTCACTATGCACACAATTCTGCCTCCTAATGTCCCGCAAATATGCCCACAACAAACTTCCAGGCTTTTCTAAAGGGCTGTAGGAATTTGGACAAAGACGGCGAACGTTTGTGTTCCCAAACAAATGGGATGCGTGTCACAAACACATTCCATTCTCATGCTATTTTAGAGAAGAGTTCAGCCAGAAATGAACATTTTGTGAGAATCAAAACAATGTGTACAGATGTGATTTTAAAAGTAAATTTGGCTTTGCTTCTCACGCAGATCTATTGTACGGCTTTATACGTTTATAAGTCATATGGACCATATTTTATGGTGTTTTTGTGTTTTTTTCAGAGCTTTTGTTTAAAGGTGCAGCTTGAACAGAGTCTCCTCTCATGTCCTGCTGAAGAAATAAACTCATACAGGTTTGGAATGATGACAGAATGGCTTAAAAACATGTTTCTTGTGTTGAGGTTTGCATGTCTACGTCTTTATTCACAGACCTTTTCATGAAGCAAGACATCAGAAAACATCTATTCCAAAAGTACTCTTGTTCTGGCTAGAGAAGACAATCCCAGAATGCCTTACAGCGAGATCAGTCAAACAATTTATACGAGTTACAAGACAGTCAATTATAAATTTAATTCTTGCTAGTGTTGGTATGAAATCATCTAGTAGAAATGGGCTATTTGATTTTTTGTGTGTGCCATGTATTTTTATGACCATCAGCTAAGTTTAAAAGTATATATATCTGTACATTAGAATGTGTCCGGTTTAATATTACTTTTTCTGAGCAAAAAATAATGGCTATCATACATCTTTAACATGACTTACAGAAGACACCCACTCCAATATATATATATATATACTGTATATATGTATTATAAACAAATGTAACATTTAGAATGAGAAAAAGTGACTATTTAACAGTTAATTGTTACTAATTAATTGTCATTTGAAATCTTTGCCTCGATCCTTTAGGTTTTACCCATTTGACAGCAAGAAGTTTTTAATCATTTAAAATAAAATTTAGCATGATCACTTATTCTTTTACAGGACAGAATGAGTATGGTCTTTCATTTGTACATTAATATATCTGTAATGCTGAATGACGATGGAACAGTATTTCACACATATTTTGACTTTTTTTGAAACATTGAAGTAGACACTTACAGTAACTGGCATTTAATAAGCTTTCTGTGTATATAAAATCACTTTTGTAATTTGATGTACTGTAGACATGCCCTGTATTTGACCCTCATTTAAAAAAAATTTTTTTATTGATATATATATATATATATATATATATATAAAATTGTAATGTCTCCAGTTAAGTGTCTACTTGAATGTTTTAAATAACTTGTGAAAACAAATTGTCAAATAAAAATATGTATGTATATTTATTTATTGTGTGTGTGTGTGTGTTCCTAGCTATTAACATTACTGATATCATTTGTTTGCAGTGGCAGCAGGAGCATCCGGGGATACAGCATTTAGTAAAGTGTGTGTGTGTGTGTGTGTGCGCACGCCTGCAGTTCCGCTGAGGTCTTTTAAAAGTCAGGTCCTTCCTTCTTCAGACTCTCGTAGTCTGTGGTGACGGCCACCAACTGTGCACAGAGAGCAAGAGAATACATTTAAATGTAGTTAGCGTAAATTAAGATCATCAGAATATCATAAAAGACAAAACAACATGCATAAAAACAAGAGCACAAGCGCACACACACAGACTGTGTGACAGGTTCTGCTGGCCCTCATTACGTGATCCGGCTCTGTGTTTAATTTTTTTTAGAGAAAGTGTATTTGAGACTTTTAGGGTTTGTGAACTGATTTAATAAAGGAAATAAATCCAGAATACTTGCATCTTGTCAATGCATGTGCATGTTTACTGATCAATCGTGATGTTGAGAAGAAGTTGAGTGTGTAAGTGCTTGTTAAAGGGGTCATCGGATGCACATTTTCCACAGGTTGATATGATTCTTTAGGGTCTTAATGAAAAGTCTATAACATACTTTGGTTAAAATTTCTCAATGGTAGTGTAAAAAGCACCCTTTTTACCCTGTCAAAAACAGCTCTGTTCACAGCAACCCGTTTTGATGCATGTCCCTTTAAATGCTAATGAGCTCTGCTGACCCCGCCCCTCTTTTCCATGGGGTGACGAGCTGTTCTCATGAGACTGTTTACTTTAGCCACATTTAGCCGCGGAACTTGCTAACTAGCACGTTATTAGGAAAGGCGATTTGCAAAGATTCATTTAAAAAAAACCTTATACTCACTTCTTCTATAGGTGAAGCTGGATCACGAATGATTCGCGCGAACATAGACGCATTTATGTAGATCGGGGGCGCATTCCCTTCAGAAACAAATGTAATCCACTGCGTCTTCAGCGGCTCAGAATTTACGAAATATCTTCAAGGAGCATGTTCTTTACTTAATATCCTAATGATTTTTGGCGTAAAAGAAAAATCGATAATCTTGGCCCATGCAATGTATTGTTGGCTAGTGCTACAAATATATCTGTGCTACTTATGACTGCTTTTGTGCTCCAGAGTCACATTTATCTTCAAACAACATGTAAAAGTGAAGTTTGCATCCGATGCACCCTTTAAGGAGACTTTGCTGTTCCTCAGTGATCAGATGCACCATTTTCACCTGCTGGACCGAAAACAGCTAAAAACCCCACAGATGCACAATTCCTGCATTCGTGTTTTTGTGAAAAGGTCTCGGAGCGTCAGCTTTTATGTGACAGAAAGCGTGTTTCTGTTGTGTATGCGTGACAGGAGACACGTTCTTCAGCCGCTGTTGTTTTATTCTCATATTCTCATTGATCTCTCTCTCTCTGCTTCTGTTTCTCTCATTATGATTAACGTTGAGACGCCGCTGGATTCTTGATTTCTGACCTTTGGCTCCTGTTGAGAATCAAACATGTCGAGCTGTGACCTTTCATGAGCCTGAACGCAAACTTCCCGGAAGAAGGAGAGGAAACTCTTTATTTTTTCCATCTGCCTTTGTTAATACTTTCATTAATCGTTGGATGTGATCAAGATGTTCCAAACGAGAACAAAATATTCTCCCGCTGCGATATGAATTATGTCTTCCTTTAGACGTGAATGAACGCTTTTTGCATGAGCACATCTAGAAATGCATCCTTAAAGAGGATCATGAAAAATGCTCATTTCTATCCTTATTTTTGCTCTATGTAAAAGACACTCCATTTAAATGGGTGTAAACAGAAGTAAACGCCCACTGCTGTGATTGGCTGACTTCATCACACATAGCCACGCCCTTTTTTACAGCATATCGTGTGTTTTGATACTTGATGGCAAGCGCTGTGATAGAGCCATATATGTTAGGGCAGAAGAAATTAAAACAATTGCAACATGGGAATTGCTTTTGCTTCATTTTTGGTTTTAAAAGTGTTGTTATTGCTTGTCATATTACAAAAGCTGCAGCCTTAAGTAAGTTTGCAAAAAAACATTGTTTCTCATTCATTTGCCAGCAGTTAAACATTTATTTTGGTTGCAACTTTTATGCTTAGTGGAAGCAGTTTGTCATATTCTGTTGTGAGCAGCTTTGTACTGATTTTAATAGCAACACTCAAACAAAGATACGCTTTAAGATAGTCTTAATAGCGTTAATGGCTGGTTTGGCAGTTTATTACAAACACATTGTAGGATTAAAAATACATGTATTACCTTTGTTTCCTCCGAGGACAAAATGTTTGGCACTGCCGAATCTTTCAATAAAAGATATTGTGAAAAACCGGCAGCATGTTTGGAATAATTCAGAAAACAGTGTTGTCAAATGTGAAGAACAAATGGAAACTTTATCTTTCAGTCTCTCAGGCACATCATTAAAAGTAAACTTCAGCCATTCATTTCTAATGCTGGGATCTTTAGGAAGGATATGCAGAGTTTTTGGAGGTTCAGTTTGTGTTTGACGGCTTTACTTAACATCTTTATCCAACAGCAGTTTGGATCTTTTTCTTGATAGATATGGAAGGCCGATAGGGCCAAAAGTCTTTAAACAGAACACATTCAATTTGAGCATCAGCATGCCCTGTTCATCCACGTTAATGGTATACATATGTACCAACATAACCTTGTGTCACTTTTACAAATATAGTCTAAAAAATAGCAATTTTATTTGTTGCTGTCCTTGTTTTCTCTTTAAAGTGGACAAACAGTGCATGTTGACAGTCAAATTTCATGTGTTCCTTTTATAAAGACTTTTGACCCTGTCCACCTTCCATACTGACTTGTGATTGATGGATATGGAAGGCCAAAGGGGTCGTTAAACAGAACACGAAAATTTGACTGTGCCAACATGCACTGTTTGTCCATTTTAAAGAGATAGTTCACCCAAAAATGAAATTATTACTTACTCACCCTCATGTCGTTCCAAACCCGTAAGACCTTACGTTCAGCGAAAGCGCACGCATGCTAAACGTAACGTTTTTTATTGTTTGGTTTTGTTTAGCTGCTTATGCAAACCAGTTTCCCTGCTGGGATTAATAAAGTACTTTTTAAAGCAGGTTTACCTCTAGATTTACCCACATATTAATCATTTATTTAGTTTATTGCACCATTACTTTACTGATTCCTACTGTGGTAAAGTAAATTAATTAATGTTACAATGTAAATTAAGATGTTTCTGACTGAAAAAGAATGTTGAACTAAACAACTAAAAAGGACATGACAAATCATGACATAATGGAAATTGCATCATATTTGACCTCTTTTAAATAGTCGCCATCTTCGAACCCCTCCAATTGCATTGTTTCCTCAAAACGTGTTTGCAAGCATGCAGCTCCTGTCACGCATGCGGCAGATGAAACTGGGCTGATCTGGGAACAGCGGGGGTGACGGATCTGTGACGGATCTGTCTGCGCTGTCAGTCTGCAGCTGATCACAGAGCAGTCGCTGGGCTGTTTACCTTGTACTGATAGGTCGGGCCGAGATTGTTCCACGGTTCAGGGTTATTCTTCTTGTCCCAGCTGACAGAATGAGGGTAAGGCCAGACCGGAGAGGAAAGAGAGAGCGAGTGAAAACAGAGCAGTGGAAGGAGGAGCGGCTGTAAAGGAGGGTAATTATCAGCTGGAGGTGACGGAGGCCAGTTATTTGGCAACCTGCCGTCGTTCATTAAGCAAAGTTTGTTTCTCACAGAGACACACAGCAAGCTAAACAAACATGATGATGGACAGGAGTATGCTTATGATTTTACCACGGGTAAGAAGTGTTCTTTTGGTAAAATCACTAATGAACAGCCTCAAGTGGCATGTTTAAATAATGAAAACAGCAATGTGCCTTCAGTGTTCAGTAAATTGTTACATTCATTAATAGTAATCAGTGTAAAATATTATTTTTTTGCAGTAAACAGTCTGGTTCATTCATTTTCTCCATATACAGAAATTGATGTTTAACAGTAACTTAAAAACCATCAAAGACAGACCCGTTGTGAGCTCCAAGGTAGTTAATTGATGCTTCTGTTGAAGTCATTCATTTGCATTATTTGAACTTATTTTTAAAATAACCCCATACAGCGCTCTGTGTGTGTGTGTGTGTGAAAAAATGGCCAAAAAATATTTGCTAAGATATGTTTCAAAATATATTTATATAAATATATTTTCTACCAATATATATATATATATTCAGATTTTTGAAATTATATTTTAAAAATATAAATATATAAAATTATTTAAAATTATATCTTGGCCTCCATATATTTCAGTCCAAGAAAATACATTCACATGTAACATCTGAAGAAAAAACTTGTTGTCTGTAACACGTGTGAATATATAACACAGTCTGTGTTTGAGTTGCTCACACGTTACATGTTACACTGCACTGTTACAATGTTAAAGTAGCAGCACACAAACATATGATATCATGTGACTGATTGTCTTGTGGTTTTTAGGTTTCATCATAGTAGTGAGGAGCACATACAGTCATATATTTTTATAGTCATATTATTTTTGGAACATCTTCCAATAGAGAAAGCCAAACAAGTTTGTAATTGCATGAGGGTGAGTAAATGATGGCAGAATGATTTTCGTGTGAACTATCCCTTTAAGTGTGTGTATTTTATTAGTGTTATGCTGTGTAATGCTCATTAACATGAACACTGTGTTATAAAGTGATGATTTTCTGGGTGTTTTTGTCGGTCTCAGTGATTCTCTGCTGGTCTGGTCTCATCTCATCTCACCTGACGTAAGGTCCACGAGCCAGTCGGATCAGATAGAGAAAAGCTCCGCTCACTCCCGCAGACATGAAGAGGAACTGAGGGATGAGCTGAAAGAGCACGAGACGATCATCAGACGTCAGTGTGAGTGTGTTACTCAAGTCAAGTCAGATTTATTATTTGTATAGCGCTTTTCAAAATACACTGTCGAAGCAGATTCACAGAAAAACATTGTTACTTTTTAAATCATCTTAATGTCTTCAGGCCTAACCCTAACATTTAGCAGAGCTGGGTGATATAATATAGTTTACATTTTTTGACAATATAAACAATCGTGCAGCAACATCTCAACAACATTTACACTGATGCATTTGGCAGACGCTTTTATGCAAAGAGATTTGCATTGCATTCAAGGTGTACAAGTTATCAGTTCATTAATTCTCTGGGAATTGAACCCATGATATTGGTGTTGCAAGGGCCATGATCCACTTTTTGAGCTACAGTAATGCTATATCCTAAACCTAAAAATTATTTACACTGTCAACAGGTTTATAGCTAGATAGATCCATATTTTTCTAAAACACAGTGCTTGCAACGGCAAGGTCCTAGGTTTCGATTCCCAGAGAATGCATGAGCTGATAACATGTTTACCTTAAATGCAATGCAATGTAAGTTCATAAAAGTGCCTGCCAAATGCATAAATGTAGATATATAGCTTTCTAGTAGCATTCCTTAAACAGTAGAGTATAGTGCATGCAATGCCAAAGTCATGGGTTCGATTCCCAGGGAATGCATGAACTTAAAACTTTGATTGCAATGTAAGTTGCTTTGGAAAGAATCATCAGCTTTCCTGTAGCGCTCCTTAAACTGTAAAAAACGGCGCTAGCGATGGCAAGGTCATGGGTTCGATTCCCAGTGAATGCATGAACTGATAAACCGTATAAATTGAATGCAATGTAAGTCGATAAAAGAGTCAGCCAAATGCATAAATGTAGATATCTAGCTTTCCTGTAGCGTTCCTCCAACAATATAGCATGGGTTCAATTCCCAGGGAATACTTGAACTGAAAATGTCTAAACCTTGAATGCAATGTATGTGACTTTGAACAGAGTTGTCTGCTAAATGAATAAATGTAAATGTAGATATATAACTTTCCTGTAGCATTCCTTGAAGAGTTGCAAACTCCGCTAGCAATGGCAAGGTCATGGGTTCGATTCCCAGTGAATGCAACTGATAAACTGTATAACTTAAATGCAATGTAAGTCGATAAAAGAGTCTGCCAAATTCATACATGTAGATATATATAGCTTTCTAGTTGCATTGCTCAAACAGTAGTGCATTGTGCATGCAAGTCATGGGTTCGATTCCCAGTGAAAGCATGAACTGATAAATAGTACAACTTGAATGCAATGTAAGTGGCTTTGGATAAAAGTTTCTTCCAAATGCATACATGTCGATCTAGCTTTCCTGTAGCATTCCTCATACAGTAGAGCATGGTGCATGCAACGCCAAAGTCATGGGTTCGATTCCCAGAGAATGCATGAACTGACTTTTTTTTTTACCTTGAATGCAATGTAAGTTGGCTTTAGATAAAGGCGTCTGCCAAATGCATAAATGTAAATACCTGAGTAATGACTCATCTGGTTTAAGTAACTTTAACTTACTCAGCAAGTACTGCTGCTTCATCATTGAGCTGAAAGATGGAGGAAAGTGCAGGAGACGCGTTATGAATGCAGTCTGACACGTTTCAGAACGCAGCGACATGTGAAATAAAGCTTGTGCAGTTAGAAGTGTGTGTGTTCATGTACTTGCATCAAGTATGGTTTCAGGTCTAAATGAACAAACACACACACACACACTTTTATATGCATGGAGACACACTGTGTGTGTCAGTCTGGGTTGAGCTACTAGTGTGTGTTTGTGTGTGTGTGTGTGTGTGTGTGTGTGTGTGTGTGTGTGTGAGAGAGAGAGAGAGACACTCCACTGCCGATCAGACTGAGTGACAGGATCTCACACACACACACAGAAGTCTCCTGGTAGGGTGTGTGTGTGTGTGAATGATGACAGGGATTAGAATAGAAATGCATATTAAAAGAGGAAATGCGAAGCATCAATTCGAATGCCAGAATCGCCACGTTTTTTTTCTGCGTTTGAGAAAGTGAGAGACAGGCAGACACAGACTTAGCCTTATGTTGTCAAAACTGCCTCCTGTTACAGTGATTTGCATAATCCCCCAGGGGTTGCTGGGAGATATTCAAATTAGCTTATCAAATATGTTTAAGCGTCGTAAGCCGAGCGCAACATGTGTTTGCTTTGCTTTCTCTCTCATCTCTCAGCTCGACTCGATCCTGACGCGTGTTCTGCGGTCATTTGATGCTCGTGATGTCTTTTAGTGTTTGTCTGACACACACCTGCAGTTATAAGCTCTCTGTAGATGATGATGATGATTATGATGAAGTTTCGCATCAACATTTACTCAACATTTACGACGCATACTAGCAACTAGCTTTAATCCAAACCCTATACATAGTAAGTACATGTTGTTAATATTTCGGTAACACTTTATTTTAAGGTGTCCTTGTTACACGTTACATGTACTTACTATTATAAGAACAATAAATTATGCATAATTATATGTAAGTAACCCTAATCCTAAACCTAACCATATAGTAAGTTCATGTAGTTAATTAATATTACTCAGTACTTAAATGTATAATTACATTGTAACAAGGACACCTTCAAATAAAGTGTAATCGATATTTCTTATATTAGGACTATTATTCCTAATATTAGTATGTATATGTTATATAAAGTGTAACTGAATTTATTTTTTTATAGTTTTATATTTTGATTTTTAATTAGTTTTTGCTTGTATTTTTTCATAAATGACCTTTTTTTTTTTTTTTAGAGTTTTAGTCTTCACAGCGCTGCAGTCTCTTAATACAGTGTATGAATAAATGGTAACATTGATTGAAAATGCAAACATTAAAGTAATTTTCTCTGTAATTTGTTTGCATTGTTTTGCATGTTTTTTTGTTTATCACAATTACCTTTTTTACCCTCCTGCTGAGCGCTTAATTTAAAATGATTCTATTTTTTGATGATTTCAGGTGTTTTTCTCTGTGAATATGAGCAAAGGTGATAACTGTATGAACACATCATCTTTGCTCCTCTGCTTTTCTCATGAGCGTCATATTCAGGGTTCACACTTTAGAGTGAGGAAAACAACAACGTTCTTATTTATTTGTGAAGTCACACTTGTTAGTGACTGTAACACCTGTGTGATGGCCGAGAGAGAGAGAGAGAGAGAGGGACAGCTTTAACAGCATCTGCTGCAACATCTGCTCCTAACCTGCAACAACTCAGAGATATAAACTTTATACAGCAGCCGCCGAACCAAGAGTTTTCTGTCCTTTAGTCAAATATAGCCTACGGTATGCTCACAGAAAGAGAGAGTCTTTGCTATGAAAGTAGATTTAATTAAATTAAAAATAAAAAAGCCTCATAATTGCAATATACAATCTCTTGTGACTTTTTTTTTCTCAAGTTCACATCTTGCATTTTTGACTTCTCACATTTCTGACTGCATGATATAAACTCTCAATTCAGAGAAAAGAAGTTCAAAGTGCAAGATATAAACCCAGAATTCTGGTGGACTTTTGTGTGTGTGTGTGTGTGTGTGTGTGTGTGAGAGAGAGAGAGTGTGTGTGTGTGTGCGCGTTTTTGTGACAAATGAGGACATAAATTTGTATAATGACTGTGTGTGTGAGTGTGTGAGAGTGTGTGTGTGTCTGTGTGTGTGTGTGTGTGTGTGTTGCAATATCTTGTAATTCTGACTTTTTACAAGAAAAATTGTGAGAAAAAAGAAAGAATTCTGAGAAAAGAAAGTCAGAATTGAGAGATAAAAAGTTGCAAAAAAACTTTCTTTGTTTGTTTGTTTGTTTTCTGTGGCAGGGACAAACTTTCATAAATCTAAATGTGAAAATAAAGACTGCAAAAATCACTTTCTCAATCTTGTTTCCAGTAAAAATATCTAAACATCCTAAAGTTGCACACTAGTTTACATACAGCAAAATGTTGTGGCATTTATGCAAGCAAGCAAACAAGCAAGCAAACAAACAAATAAATAAAGCTTATTTATTTATTTTATTTTTTATTTTTTTATTTCTCATTAAAGAAAATACCTTCACATCATGTCATTTACAGGCCTCTGAAAGAAAGAATAAGCTGAAGATGCAGAGGCCTGTAAATGATACAGACGTAATGGTATGTTTTATTACAAAATCACTCTTTATATCTGTTACTGTTAAACACACTGGCAGTTTAACGCGGTTTGGTGGCTTTTGCATAACAGTAATTCATTTGGTTTTGGTAACCTGCCAAACAAACGACATGAATCTGGGTCATCACACGCTCATTGTCAGTAATAGAGCTATTGTTTCAATAAACAATGTCTGTTTTGTTTGTGTGGGGTAATGTATAGGCCTTTAGTGCTTAGTTTTATATGCATGGAAATAAATCTTTCACTCTGACTCGATATTTAAAGACTTAAAAACACGCTCATTTTGAGATGTGTTTATAATAAACGATAAATGGAACATCAATAACAGCTCTTCACAAACCTCACCTGTTCTCAGAAAAACAAACTACTACAATGCAGAATCTCTGGAGCTGCAGTCATTTAAGCGTTTCTTATTTTTACTGATGGAGGAATTGTGATGCTGAATGTCAGGAGTAAATGTCAGATGAGGGTTAAACTCACCCCGGGATGCTTCCTCGCCTGCTGGTACATCGTTCTGAACATCTTCATCTTCCACAACACAGCGACAGTGAACCGTAAATGTGGCTAAAAGTGAGAACAAGTGTGGACTGTGAGTTGTGTGACAGGGACAGTTGTGTTGTGAGTGATGGATGGCTACTGAGATCCAATCAACACACTGACAATGACCACTAACCCAGTGACGGCTCTACAGTATCATCTGACAGAAAATAACTTTCATTCATCAAAATATTGGGGGTGACATTTGATCAAAAATATAGTTTAAAAAAACTGTAAAATTGTGAAATATTATTATTATTTAAAACAGCTGTTTTCTATGTGAATATCTGTTAAAAATAGAATTTATTTCTGCGATCAAAGCTGGATTTTCAGCATCATTACTCCAGTCTTCAGTGTCCGTGATCCTTCAGAAATCATACTAATCAGTGTTGTTTTAGTATCATTGAGATACTATATTTTATTTTTTATTAGTTAGCTTTTGTTTTTATTTTTTTATTTTCTGTTTTCATTTTAAGTTTTAGTAAGTTTATTGTTTTTGTCATTTTTAGTAGGCTTTTTTAAAAACATCTATATAGTTTTTTGTTCATTTTTATTTCAATTTTAGTTATTTTGGTGTGTCAAATTAAAGTAAATCAAAATAAGAAAAGTCTGAAAGAAAACCGTTTTATCTTCAGTTAACGTTTATTTTATTTCAAGTAAGTTTTCTTTATTTTTTATTTTTGGTTAAGTATAATAACCCTGATTCTAATATGCTGTTCTCTTTCATGGGTTCACTCCACGCTGCGTAGCTGACGCAATGGGAACACCTCCCAGGTGTGACGATTGTCTGAAGCCCATATAGAATCACGCCAATTCATTGGCTGATGGTGCGAGATACCGCCCCAACGTCATGCAATTGACATAGACACGCGCTTGCGCCATCTTACCCCTCAGATTTTCCTCTCTTCAGAAGCGTTAAGTGCGTCAGATGTGTGGGCCTGGCCCATGCACGAGATGCTATCTTTGGCATTTTAAACTGCAAGTGCTGTGAGAATTTAACTCTTAAAGGGGTCATCGGATGCGACATGCACTTTTACAAGCTGTTTGAACTGGAATGTGTGTTGGCAGTGTGTGTACATAACCACCCTATAATGATAAAGATCCACCCAGTGTTTTTTTTTTAAATCTCGTTAAATAATTTCCCCTTTCTCAAATCGAGCCAATCTCAGATGAATTAAGATGAATCCCCTCCCACAATTGTTTGATTGACACTGGCGTTTCAGCACAGACTTAGCTCCTTAGCTCCGCCCTGAGTGAGCTGTCATCAGTCTGCCATTGTTTCACCGCCGGAGCAGATGTAGACAAGAATGACTCCTAAGCGATTGAGGTGTTCTGTTGTTGGATGTAATAATGAACACGGGGTCAGCAGAGCTCATTTGCATTTAAAGCGCCATGCAAGAAAACAGCTTGCTCTGAAAAGAACTGTTTTTGACGGGGTAAAAATGGTGTTGTTTTACACTACCATTAAGAAATTTTAACCAAACTATGTTACAGGCTTTTCATTAAGACCCTAAAGAATCATATCAACTTGTGGAAAATTGGCATCCGATGACCCCTTTAAAACCTTGCACGCTAGACTCGTGGTTTTTGATTGTGAATCCATCGTTCTCTCCTGCCGTGCCACTCTGGAGGCCTCCTCCCTCTGTGAAGCCGTGGCCTGGAGTTCGGATGCGGAGCTCGAGGCTATGGAGAGTGAGCAGTCTCCACTTACTCTCCTCCATCCCCTGAGTGTCACCGCAGGGATTATCCGGTCAAGTTTTCTCGCGGCTTCCCTTCGGGCTAGCTCTGGCCCCAAGAACGTTCACCAAGTGTATGGATGCTGCTCTGGCCCCGCTGAGGCTCCAGGGGATCCGAATTCTCAACTCAAGGAGTGAAAATAGGGGTAGTCTGTAGTCGCCAGATGATCACGATGGATGCTTCCCTCTCAGGATGGGGTGCGGTCTTCGAGGGCAGGCTGGCTTGCGGTGTCTGGACAGGCAAGTAAACGCCTGGCACATAAACAGCCTGGAAATGAGAGCGGTTCAGCTGGCTCTCGTTCACTTTCTTTCGTTCCTGGCCGGATGGGGGCTCAGATTTGGGAACGATTCGGTGCGGCAGAGGTGGACCTTTCTCACCCTACCTCTCTGGGGATAGATGCGCTAGCGCACCCCTAGCCAGACATAAAACTATACGCTTTCCCTCCGGTCAAGCTCATCCCAGCGGTCTTGTGCAGTGTGAAGACTTGCGGAGTCCACATTCTCCTAGTAGCCCCGTTCTGGCCTTCCCAGACGTGGTTCTCGGAGTTGGTATCCCTTCTGGAAGGCGATCCGTGGGAGATTCCAATCAGGAAAGACCTGTTGTGTCAGCTCCAGGGCAGAATTTGGCACCCACGTCCAGAGATCTGGAAGTTGTGGGTATGGTCAATCAGAGGTGACCCATAGCCTTTGATCTCTCGGATGGAGTCCGTGAGACCATTAATAGTTACAGAGCCCTTTCCATTAGGAGGCTCTATTCCTCCAAATGGAGGGTTTTTGAATCCTGGTGCTCGGCTCATGCTGTGGACCCAGTCAGCTGCCCAGTTGTTTCAGTGCTGGAGTTCCTGGAAGATAAGTTTTCGGCTGGAGCGGCTATTTGGCTATTGCAGCTCGAAGGGACTCGGATGATGTCCCGCTGGGTAGGCATCGTTTGGTCTCCTCCTTTATGCGTGGCGTTAAGCGCTTGAATCCAGTTCGTCCTCCTAGTTTCCCTTCTTGGGACCTCTCTGTTGTCCTGAAGGGGTTGCTGGAGCCTACTTTTGAGCCTCTAGAATCAGCTCCTGAGAGGATTCTGACGTTAAAGGTTACTCTTTTGTTGGCGTTGGCCTCTTTAAAGCATGTGGGGGACTTGCAGGCTCTCTCAGTCAGCGAGTCCTGCATTGAGTTCGCTCCTGGTCTGGTCAAGGCTTTCTTGAGACCCAGACCTGGTTATGTCCCCAAAGTTCTCTCTACGTCTTTTTGTTCTCAGGTTGTAGTGTTGTAGGCTTTCTCTCCCTCCTCTTTGAGTGAGGATGGTAATCTGCATCTGCTCTGCCCTGTCAGGGCCCTGAAGATGTATGTGGAACGTTCCAGTCAGTCCCTACATTTGCTGGTGTTTTTTGGTGCAGGCTGCAGAGGGCTAGCCGCATCAAAGCACACAATTTCCCACTGGGTTAGGGAGGCTATTTCGATGGCCTACGAGGTGCGTGGTCTGCCTTCACCTCTGGACGTCAGGGCTCATTCCACCAGGGGGGTGGCTTCCTCCCAGGCTTTGTTTAGAGGGGTTCCCCTGGAGGATATCTGTATGGCGGCAGGTTGGTCCTCTCCCCATACTTTTGTGAGGTTCTATAACCTTGATGTGAATACGGCTCCTGGCTCCCAGGTTCTTTCTGTTTGAGCCAGCTGTGTTTTAGTGTTCTGGTCTGTAATGGGCCAGACTTGGCAGCGCGATAGCTTGGCGTGTGTGGTATATCATTCCCATTACGTCAGCTACGCAGCGTGGAGTGAACCTATGAAAGAGAACGTCTCGGGTTACTTACGTAACCCATGTTCTCTGAGTAGGGAACGAGATGCTGCGTCCGCTGCCAAGCTCCTCAAGCTGTCGAATTGCTACTTCGACAGGAAAATCTGAGGGGGTAAGATGGCGCGAGCGCGGGTCTATGTCAATTACGTATGACGTAGGGGTGGTATCTCGCGCCATCAGCCAATGAATTGGCGTGATTCTATACGGGCTTCAGACAATCGTCACACCTGGGAGGTGTTCCCTTTGCATCAGCTACGCAGCGTCTCATTCCCTACTCAGAGAACATGGGTTACATAAGTAACCCGAGACGATTTGCTGCTCAAGAAACATTTCTGATTATTATCAATGTTGAAAACAGTTGTGCTGCACAATATTTTTGTATAGAAAATTCAAAAGAACAGCATTTATTGGAAATATAAATCTTTTGTAACATTATAAATGTCTTTACTGTCACTTTTGGTCAATTTAATGCATCCTTGATGAATAAAAGTGTATTTTTAGTAGTGTATGCCACAATTATTATAGTTGCCTAAAACTAAAACCATAAAAAACATTTAAGTTACTTAAAAAATAAAAAACTCTAACTGAAATAGTCAAATATTAATAAACCTTATTTTATCCCAGCAACATTTCTCATTTTCATTTAGTATAACATGATGTACTAAAATAACTAAAACAAAAATTAATTTCAAAAATATATAGACGCATTAAAAAAAATAAAATTACAATAAACAAAATTACTAAAACTTTAAAAATAAAATTAAAGCAGAAATTATAAAAATAAAAGCTAATTCAAAATATAAACGAAAACCATAATAGTGTCTCAGTGAGACTAAAATAACATACTGTATATATAGTAACGGTGTGTATTGATGAATATTCAGCTCTCTAAATGGACTGTTCTGCTGTGCCAGTATATTTAAGTCTGCATGTCTTTAGTTAATTTCATTGGAAGGTCTTTTTAACAGAAGGACGAGGCGTCTGGCACATTTTAGAGTCTCTGCCAGCTAACAGTCTGTCCTGAGCTTTGACCTTTGACCTCAGGGAATACTCAGACAGACAGACTGACAGTAAAAAGCTTAGAGTCGACCCATAACCCATAATCTGATGTCAGCCGCTCTGAAACAGCCCAGTCAGACTCTGATGACATTAAAAGCTGTGATTTAAACTTAATTACAGGTGATCAACACGCTGAACACATGATCATCAGATCATCAGTGCTGACGTGATTCTCACATATTTAGAGTTTAGGAGACTGAACAACAACAAAAACAAAAACTGAGCACTCAAAACAATATTTTTATGCCTAAACTTGAGATTTATTTATTTAAATCGCAACATCCATTTGAATCACTCAGTGTTAAAATAATGAAATCAGGGTTATCATAGTTAACTAAAACTAAAACCTAAACATTTTTATTACTTGACATAAAATAAATGTTAAATGAAACTTATTTTACTTCAGCTAGTTGACAAGGCAACATTTCTCATTTTATTTAGTTTATCTTGTACTAAAATAATATTTAAAAAGAAATTCATACAATTTTTTAAAAACAAA